ACCAGCGCCAGTGTGGCCGCAGGGCCAGGGCAGTGACTGTCCCCCTGCACTGGGCACTGGTGAGGCTGCACCTCGAATCCTGTATCAGTTCTGGGCCCTTTACTACAAGAGAGACATTGAGGGCCTGGAGCACAAGTGTGATGAGGAAGGGCTGAGGGACCTGGGGAGGTTTAATCTGGAGAAGGAGAGGGTCAGGGGGGACCTTATCGCTCTCTACAACTGCCTGACAGGAGGTTGTAGCGAGGTGGGGTCAGTCTCTGCTCCCAGGTAACAACTGATGGGACAAGAGGAAACAGCCTCAAGCTGCACCCAAAGTGTGGTCAGGCATTGGACCGTGGCAGGGTATTGGGGAGCTGGTACTCACAGGGTGGGCTGCTCCACCTCGGGGGACACCCTGGCATCCTCCCCCACGGGGTGCATCCGTAAATAGGTGGCCGATAGAGGTGGCGACTCAAACACATCATCGGGCATGGAGTACGTCTCATCATGTATGTCCATCTGGAAGCACGATGGAGACTTTTTCTTGCATGTGTGGGAACCCCCCCCTGAGCAAGCACGCCCATCACCAGGCCAGGCTGGCTCCAGAACATGGGGAGGCAGGAAAAACTAACTGTCACACGGTGTGAAACACGCCCATGGTGGTGGCATCACTCCTTGCCACCCCCAAGGAGCATCACCAAGACCTGGGCTCTGCAGTGCCAGACACAGAGGCCAGCAAGGCCCCTGTTCCAGGTGCTGAGTGAAGCACTGGAGGTGCCCACCAGAGCCCTGCTCCACATCCAGCCCCCATACAGGGGGACCAGGATCCTCCCTGCTCCAGCAGGGAACAGCACTTGCCTTACTGAAGAAGGATGAGTCCAGGGTATCGGCAGCATCCACCATGTCCTCATCCATGAAGCTGGGGTACATGAAGCTCCTCTTGTTGTTCCTCTGCTTGGGAGCCAGTGGCTCCAGGACAGAACGTCCCTTTGGCAGAGGAAGCAAATGGGAGTAAGCAACCAGAAGCCCCCCCAGCTTTTGCAGCACCAAGGGCTTCTTATAGCTCCCCTCCCCAAAGCCAAGTGGCAAGGATGAAACCCCAGCAGGCCACCATATCCCCTAGTGTGGAAAGCGCAGGCAGCAAGGAGCTGCCTTTAGCTCCTCAGAGCCAGTGCTGGACCATGACCATGTTAGTCAGCATGACAAGTGAACTCTGAATCCCATTTGGTCCCAGTCCCACAAACCTGCTCCCAAGGCTTGCCCAGGGGTTAGAGAGCTGCATGAGAAGCTTCTTGGCTCCTCAGTAGTGAAACCCAGAAGCTGCTTTTTTCTAGGGATGTCCAGTTTCCACCAGAACTTCTCTTTTTAAGCAGAGCCCAGGTTAAACCCCACCAAGCTCCCCCCTCAAACCTACCCTGGAGAGACAGCGGTCTCTATGCAAAGCAAAAAGCCACAAAACAAAGATGATGTGTGAGGGACAGAGCTGAAACCCAGGTCAGGAAGATGATGATATCCCCAGGTCCCCAAAACTCACGCGGAGAAGGGCTGCGGCTGCCTTGAAGCTCATGTGGGCAACGGACTCTCTCTTCCTGCGTGGCAGGCGGCTGTAGCCCGAGCGGATGCTGTTGAAGGAGGCCAAGGAGACAACACCGGGGGTGAGCGGGGGCAGGACATGGTGAGGTGTGTGGGGACGGTCGGTCTCATCGGGGTGGCGGAAGGGACGGCCCCTGGCCAGCGGGTCCACGATCTGGAGGAGGGCAGAGGTGTCAGCGATGGGACAGCATGGCCAGGACTTGGACCCCACACCACGAGCATCTACCTTGGGCATCTTGGAGGGCTTGGGTGACTCGGTGGCTTGGAAGGAGGGCACCTCCTGGCTGGGCAGCTCCATGTCGCGGTAGGCAGGCTTCAGCTTGCCGTACCTCATGCTGCAGTGCTGTAAGCTCTTGCGTTGCCACTGCTGCCGCTTCCCCTCCCAGTCACTGCTGACACCAAACCACTGCGCCGTGCCCCTGCACACACCATGGGCACACTGCTCACACAGCGGTCCTCCCACCGCAGGTACCACCATCCCACCTGCGCATCCCCCCTTGGGGTGGGGGATGTGTGTTGGGGTGTCTCAGCTTGGCCCACAGCTTGGCAGTTTTGACCTGGCTATGGGTCTCAGTGAAGGGATGCTGCAGAGGTGTCGCTGGCCTTTGGGTCTCTCTGGAGAGGTAACTCCATTGAGACTTGCACCTTGCACAGGACAGGATGGGCAGGGTAATGGGGTTTTATGGATTGGCAGGAAATGGGTTTAAACTTAAATAGGCCAGATTCAGATGAGATCTTAGGGAGAAGTTCTTCCCTGTGAGGGTGCTGAGGCGCTGGCACAGGGTGCCCAGAGAAGCTGTGGCTGCCCCATCCCTGGCACACGTCCAGGCCAGGGTTGTAC